TGCACTTCATGTGTAAAATTTTGCCAATGGGAGAAAGAAAGAAACATGCCTTGTTGATAAATGTTTGTTGATACATAAGGGTGACCATGACATCTTTAATGTTGTCCTCGTAGGGAATACGAATCTCCGCAATTTTCACAAGAGGCTGAAATAAAAATTCATGCTCAACTGGAACAACAACGTTTCGCATGATCGGATGTCTTCTATTGTTGCACATGTGTTAGATCTTCATCGTCGTCGTGATCTAAAAACAGAACGACATTGCAAACACAAAGATAGGGTTGCCGTATAAGCGAGGTGGAACAAAAATTAATACAACCATGAATAAGTTGTGTTGCGCCAAACGCAGCCCACAATTGCCCAACAACCACCCCAACCCACTCCACCGTGACCTCGATCATTTGACCTCCCCCCCACCCACCCCGCCCCCTCCTCCTCTCCTCCGGACTTTAGTACAAGGCAACACACTTAAACAGACTCATACTGTACATCACAAACACACACACACGCACATACTCATACACATACACACACACACACACACACATGCACACACACCGGGTAGGTGGTTAGGGTGTCGGTGGGAGAGAAGGAGACACAGAGGAAGGGGGGGTTGGTTTACGAATGGGGAAAGAGGGGGGGGGGGGGGGGGGGGAGATGGTGTGTGTGGGTACATGCCATTAGGTCACGGTGACCCGAACAGGCTGAGCGTACTCCTAATTTAGGGTTGTTCAGTCTTATACTCATAATAACATAAGAAGTGGAGAGTTAGTATAATTTTTTTTTCTAAATATGATTGCAGCATGATTAAATCGGCCTTAAGTTGGGCGGTCTGATCATTTGTCTACAAGAGATAAGTTGTGAATTTACTTGTTGAATGTTGTTGGTGTTGCGAAAGTTTGTTGTATCCTTATGTTGGGACGATCCGGTTATACTTCATAATTTGTTGGTCATATTCAATAATCATATCCTTAAGTTGAGGTGGTCTAGTCCTATGCCATATGTAATTGTTTGGACATGATAGTCATATCCCTACGTTGGAGGGATCTAGACGTATGCCTCTTTGTCGTTGCTCAGGTAGAGACTGAATGTACCCCTAAGTTGAGGCGCGCTAGTCATACACCTTATGTCAATTATTTAGGCAAATGCCTTATGTATATTGTTTACACAGACTAAACATACCCCTAAGTTGGGACGGTCTAGCCATATACTTTATATAAGAAAAAAAATCAATTTCGTCAAAACAGACATTTTATATTTTTTTTAACGGAATTGAAACCTGCTTATTTGGCCCAAAAAATATCACCTGCTATCTTATAAAATGTTCGTTTTAATGAAATTGTTGTTAAAGAGTGAAAAATTTTAATCAACTAAGGGTCGAATGAATTAAACATTCTGATGAAAAACTTGAGGGTTTGTGAGAGAGCATATTGTGCTTACTTGTGTGTTTTGTTAGTTTGTCTCTTAGAGGCGTCTTTTAATAACTTAGTTGCTTAGATGTTCATCAAGTGTTGGAGCGATAGGTAAAATACAATAAATGGAGGGAGAAGTTGTCATCATGTAGGCCGACCTTACTGATGATCAAAGTTAGAGTTAGCTAATGATACTCTCTTTAAAGAGGTATCATTGAGAACTGCCGCTATATCTAACAATCAAGTTTGAAAGAGGCTGTCGGCCAGCCACACACTGGACCGGCCCGAGCGTTTCGAAGGTCGTTTCTACAATCCGCCATTGTCCAGCCTCTCCCGCCTGGGGCCGACGTTGCGATGCGTGGGACTTTGGGAGCTCGGCTGGAAAGGACGTCGACCTGCCGAAAATACCGCCCCTAACTCACAGGGCCCAGGGGTATAGGCTGGCGGGGGGACTGGTGGTTTAACCGTCGAGATGATGTGGTCAAACGATGTGGTCTTCCCAGAAATAAGCGATCTAGGGGCTTTTTTTTAGGTGTTAGGGTTCTAGGGTTTTAGGAGCTTAGAGGGTTGTCTTTCCCGCCCTCCCCCCCACAAAACTCAAATAGAGAATAGAGGTCAGGGAACCTCAACTTTACACATGGAAGATATTTGGAAGCATGCTCCAGCTTAGGGTTTTAGGGTTTAGGGGCTTAGGGGTTCAAAGGCTGAGTGTTTTAGGTTTTAGGGACCGATTGAGATGCTGAGTCTTTCAAAAAGAAAAAAAAGGGGGGCTCTGAGCCTTGACCGTCGATATAATGTGGTCAAACGATATGGTCTTCCCAGGAAGAAGCAATCTGGGGCTTTGTTTTAGGGTTTTGGGGTTCTAGGGTTTTAGGAGCTTAGAGGTTAAAGGGGGGCTCTGAGCCTTGATCGTCGATATAATGTGGCCAAATGATATGGTCTTCCCAGGAAGAAGCGATCTGGGGCTTTTTTGGGTTCTAGGGTTTTAGGAGCTCAGAGGTTTTTTGCTCCCTCCTGCCCTGCCCCCCCCCCCCTCTTCCTGAAAATTCAAATTTCCATTTCATAACACATAATAGAGGCCAAGGAACCTCACCATTACTCCCCGAAGATGTCTGGAAGCATGTAGTCTACAGGCAAAGCCTTTTGGACCTGCAGATCCTTTTTTCCCTACATGTAGGTCCGAAAGGCTACGGAACAAGATCTGCAGCTCAAGGTCTGCAGCCTAACACGACCTTCTTCCCCCCGGAATAGAACGCACGGTCATTTCTGTTGCATCTGGACTAAAAGGGGACCAAATACGTTCCGCAGACTAAAAATGACCGCACGTTCTATTCGGCGGAGGAAGGTAATCTACCCAATACCCGGCTGACTATTCGGGGAATACGGTCATTATAGTCTGGGGCGAGACGGTAATCCCTCAGACTATTCGGGGTAGAGTAGAGGGTACATTCTATCCGCAGAACACTTACTCCGTAGTACGGTAGACGGTAATGCCCGTACGGTAATCTACCTCGTACAGTAATCTACATCGTACGGTAATCTACCCCGAAATGACGGTACGTTCTATTCGGAGAACACTTGCACAGAGTCGTAGAACACTTCCACTCGGGGTAGACGGTAATCCCCGTAAGGTAAACTACCCCGAATAGTCTGAGGGGAAAATCTACCCTCTATACCCCGAAATGTACCCCCAGACTAAGGTAATCCCCGAATAGTCTGGGGAAGACGGTAAAAAAAAAAATCTACCCTCGTTTCGTCTACCCCGAATAGCCCGGGAAAGATAGCCGTCTTCCCCATTCCCCAAACGGTCATTATAGTCTGGGGTTAAGACCGTAATCCCTCAGACTATTCGGGGTAGAAGAATAGAGGGTATAATTTTTGGACCGTCTTCCCCAGACTATTCGGGGACCCAATCGGGGGAAGACGGGAATTAATTAGGTACAGATCCCACTGCCCTGGATTATTCATTTTTCACCCTCGATTACGAAGATCAACGGTCAGAACTGAATAATCGGGGCTACATGTAGTGGGATCTGGCCCTTATAGTCTGGGGAAGACGGGGAGCGAATCGGGGGACTATAATGACCGTACGTTCTATTCGAGGGAAGACGGTAATCTACCCACTACTCGACTGACTGGCCACGTACTAAAATTCGGTGGCCTCTTTTTTTTGTTTTGTTTTTTTGTGTTTTTGGGAAAGCCTCTTATTGGTACCTATAAGCCGTGGCGGGTTCAGAGGGTGAGGGTAAAAAAAAAGAAAGGGTTTTTTTCTGAATTTCTGAGCCTTAAAAGAAAAAAAAAAAGTCGCCTTTGAACCTTGACCGTCGAGATGATGTGGACTTTGCAATATTGATTTCGACTGGTTGAGTTTTCTTGAGGTATTAATCTAAACGTTTTCACCCGAATATTATATATATTAGATATGTATTTGGGCTGAGTTTCAGTCTTGATACAGCGATAATGGACCGGGCGGTCTACTCGGCTGAAGGCGGTGTAGTGGCAGATCGAGAATAGTTGATTGTTGGGCTGGGCATATTGATTTACTGTTATGTGGAGTTTCCCCCCCCCCCCCCCCCTTTTTTTTTTTTTTTATGTGGAGTTTCATTAATATGATGATTTTTATTATTATTTAAAGTTAAATATTAAAGAAATAAATTAAATGAGAGCTTTGTAGCCTCTCGTTCATCGAATTTTTGATTGGGGGGATTTCTTTCTTTATTATATTATGTGCTTCGAGGGGTTGAAGAGATAGTCTTAAAAAAAAAAAAAAAAAAAAAAAAAAAGAGTCTATGGATAGTTTGCTTGTTTGAATTTTTTGTCCAATTCATTCCTATTTGTTTTCGTTGGCTGATTGATCGGCCATCTTCTGTTTTTTTTTTTTTTTTTTTTTTGTAAGAAGTATTGATCAGCCGGTTCAGGTAATCGATTAGTTTGTGGTTATTGTGGATTTTTTATCATTTGTTTTCTGCATTAACCACTTATATCGCAGATAAATACACTTCGTCTGATTGGTAGATCGTCTGATTGATTGATTGATTGATTGATTGATTGATTGATTGATTGATTGATTATTGATTGATTGATTGATTTGATTGATTGATTGATTGATTGATAGATCGTTGATTGATTGATTGATTGATAGATCGTCTGATTGATTGATTGATTGATCAATCAATTGATTGATTGATTGATGATTGATTGATTGATTGATTTGATTGATTGATTGATGAAGTGATTGGTTGACTTGTCCTACGAATGTTAATTAAAGACCACATTAGAGCGTGAGCTACTGAATGGGCTTCGACTCTGAACCAGTTTGCAATGCGCTGTCGTTTGGGTGTTCGTGTAGCATACCGTCTTCCACCGAATAGAACGTAGGGTCATCATAGCTGTATCAGGGGCAACTTTCAGTCTAGATACAGTGATGGCGACCGTACGTTCTATTCGGGTGAAGACGGGTAGTCTGCGGGTGATGATGGCTAATACATCAAGATGGATGACGGGGCGATGACGCGGAGGGGGGGGGGAGGAGGGGGGAGGAGGATTCGGGATATGTGGTCGGCGGAGAACCGGAGATAGCAATCGGGATCGCGACGTGATCGGGTTAAGGTAGAGGGCAGCCAAGGGTTTCTGAAGGGGTCGGGTGTGTGGTCATTGCGCCACTTTCCTAAAAAGGAAAGGATCCTAGCTCATGGTGAGCAGCGTTTTATGGATTGCACCCGGGGGAAAGGAGGACGGAGGACATCGGGATCTGCAGTCGGGATCCGCAGTCTGGTATCGGCAAGAGGAGATATATCGGGATAAATCGGGGTCTGCAGTCGATCAACACAGATCCCGATCAAGCAAGTTCGCAGAGAAACGGTCGCCAGTGTGTCCTGAATAGAGCCAATTTCCTGGATAGAGCGCGCCGCAGAGATTCTTTTTTTTTTTTTTTTTTTTCCCTTTCCCGCAGAGATTCTACGGATGGGATGAATGAATACTTTTTTTTTTTTTTTTAATAAGTAATTAGATGATTGGTGAGCGGCTTGAAACACGTGCCTGGTGGCAGTACTTAACCTGACGCGTACGTCGTTATCTGACGTGTCCTTTTTTTTTTTTTTTTTTTTTTTTTTTTTAAAAACAGGAGCGACGGCCTTACGATATCATCATCATGGCGCTGACCGGGCCAAGGTAATTCAGAATGATGATTGTATTCTGGTCATCATCTGATTGTATCTGGATTCGACCGAGAGTCTGATTCATATTTCAACACTTCGTGGTGGGATGTACAGTGGTTTTTGAAAAAAAATGGGTTTAAAGGAAGGCGCACGTGTCAGGGGTTGCCACCTGGACGATGGAGGTGTAAGTGCCGCCCTTCAGCGTGAGAAGGGAGCAGCAGCAGCAGCAGCAGCAGGAGGAGGAGGAGGGGGAGGAGGAGGAGGAGGAGGAGGAGGAATGATCACACAGGGAAAGAGAAGAGAGAGCGGCGCCATCTTCAGAAACCTAGCAGGAGCTAACATCCCGCGTCCGGAGAAGCCCAATCCCAATCCCAATGCCAATCCCAATCCCAATCTCAATCTCAATCCCAATCCCGATCCCGATCCCAATCCCCGCCCAGGAGGCCATGCAAGTGCGCAAGAGGAGGAGTTATGGGCCCTCAGGAAGGAATGCGGGCTTCTCCGGGCCATGGCCGAGGAAAGAGAGCGGGAGCTGTCCACACTGAGGCCTCTTGTCGAAGCATTGGCGCGCAGCGATTCAGAGACAGTAGACGTGCGAGATGCCAAGATTGTCGAGCTGTCCAAGAAGAATCGGACACTGAACCTCTCGTTCGAGAGGGAGCGGACGCGGGCGGACAAGCTCAAGGCCCAAGTGCAGGCATTGCAGCGCCAGCTGGCCGATGAGAAGGAGAACGTGGCTGGATTGATTACTGCAGTGGCACAAGAAGGAGAAGGAGGAGGAGGAGGAGGAGGGGGAGGAGGAAGAAGGAGCGTGATTATGACTGTGGAACAACAGGAAGGTCTGCATAAAGCCGCCGCGGAGTGGAGGGAGAAGTTCTCTCAGTCTGAGAGTCGATTAGCTGAGGCTCAGGCGGGGCTGCTGCAAGCCCGGGTGGAGGTGGGGAGACTGCAGAGAGCCCTCCAGAAGGAGGTGGGTGATGATACCCCCCTAGTAAAGGTGCTTGATGAGGGCGCAGACCCCCCTTGGAGGGGGCGGGCGCAGCAGATCAGCTTGTTGAAAGACAAGCTCAGAGAGCTCAAGCTCAAGCTCAAAGAGGCCAGAACTCTCTTCCCTTCCCCGCCGCCCGGTTCGACGGGCATCACGATGGGGAGCAGCAGCCCATTCACCTCCTCCTCCTCCTCCTCCTCCTCCTCCTCCCTCTCCTCCTCTTTTCTTCTGGAAGATTGCAGCAACAACGGTCAGTGTCAGTCCAGCTTGGGCGATGAGGATCGAGGGCTGACGGCAATGCCTCCTCCGCCTCCGACTGGGATCCCGACTTCGTTTGATGAACTGCATAGGTCTCATCTGGAGGCGATGGACAAGTCGAGGAGAAAGAACTTCGATGCCGTAGTGACGGAAGCGGCGGTAATGCGCGCCGAGCTGAGCACGGTCAGGCAGAAACACGAGGGTGCGCTTGCACGCAAGGCGGTGCTGGAGGCGGAGGTGCGGAAGCTCAAGGAGAAGACGTTGGTTCTTCTTAACAAGACGGAGAATGATGATCGTTTGATTGCCCTGCTGAGGGCGGAGATTGAGAAGAAAGCCAATGCCGCTGCTGCAGCAGCAGCAGCAGCAACAGCAGCAGCAGGAGGAGGAGGAGGAGGAGGAGGAGGAACGCAGATGATGTGCTCGACGTGTCAGGTCAGAGAGCAGACGCGAGTTGCTGCCGATGCCAAGCTGGCTGCAGCATACAGCGAACTTAGACACAAATGCCGTATGCAGGAGAAGGAGATACAGAGGAAAGAGAGGACGATTCAAGCCTTGGTGATGAAAACAACTGGCAGTTGCGTTTCAGCTAATCCTGGTTCAAAAGGGGAGGAGGAGGAGGAGGAGGAGGAGGAGGAGACATGCCCGCCGTAGCTATGAACTTCAAATTTGAGTTGCAGCCAATCATGGCTCGAAGGAGGAGGAGGAGGAGGAGGAGGAGGGGGAGGAGGAGAAGGAGGAGGGTGAGGAGAAGGAGGAGGAGGAGGAGGAGGAGGAGGAGGAGGAGCCATGCCCGCCATAGCTATGCAGCCAATCATGGCTCGAAGAAGGGGGAAGAGGAGGATGAGGATGAGGAGGAGGAAGAGGAGGAGGAGGAGGAGGAGGAGGAGGAGGAAGANGAGGAGGAGGAGGAGGAGGAGGAGGAGGAGGAGGAGGCGTGCCCACCATATCCATGAGCTTCAGAGTTGGGTTGAAGGAGGCATGCCTGCTGCCATTGTCGTACACTCCAGAGCGGAGAAACGGACTGTCTGTCTGCGGCCATTGTCGAGAAGGAGCTAGAAAGCGGAGAGAGGAAGGGTAATTCAAGCCTGGATGACATCAACAGCAACGGTTTCCCCCTGCAGCCAGTCGTGGAACGACGGAGGAGGAGAGACGAGGAGAGGGGGGAGGAGGAGGAGGAGGAGGAAGAGGAGGCATGCCTGCTGCCATTGTCATGAATCCTCCAGAGCGGAGGAGGGAACTGTCTGTCTGCTGGTAGACCCTCGAGAAGGAGCTATCTTCTTCCCCCGAATACAACAGACGGTCATTATAGCTGAATGTATCTGGAGTATCTTTCAGTCTCAATACAGCTATATATCATGACCTCACCTTGTATTCGACGGAAGCAGGAAGAAAGCACAGAGAGGAGGTCAACACTACCTGTTTCCACTGGCAAAGAAGATTGGAATAAGTGTCTGAATCTGGACGTGTTTGTGGAGAGGTGCAGAGTTCAAGAAAGCACCCAATCCTGGAACGAAGGAAGAGAGAGGAGGACAAGGAAGAGGAGGAGAGACCAGCAGGAGGAGGAGGAGGAGGAGGAGGAGGAGGAGGCATGCCTGCTGCCATTCAAGTTGTCGTGAATCTCCAAAGCGGAGGAGGGAACTGATTGCCTCCACAGGAGTTGTCGGTTTTGTGGGATCTAATAATTCATGAATCTAGTCGCTTCTCTGGCCAGGAACAGTGACCTCGTCACTTTCTCCAAGCTGACTGTTTCAGACTCTTCAAAGAAATCGGGAACTCCTCTGTTGCAGGGATCAGGAGTCCTTCGGGACATCCGTTAAAATTGGAACGATACAGAGAAGATTAGCATGGCCCCTGCGCTTTCAAGGATGACACGCGTAAATCGAGAAATGGTCCAAATTAAAAATAAAAAAAATAAAAAAAGAAGAAGATTGGAACAAGTGTCTGAATCGAGTAGCAGCAGAGGCTATGGCCAACACTCTCCCACACACCACACACAACCCACTCGCGCTCACACTCACACCCGTGTTGGTCATAGACCCCGCTAATACCGATCAGGGGTATCCAGAGGACTATCACAGTCCGTTGGCACTAAGTGCGCCGCAGGCCGCCTCTGCTGCTACTCGATGAAGGGTGGGGGACGATGAGAAAGGGAGGCACAGCTACTGGCAGGTCTCGGTCTTTGTGTTAGCCAGACCCCCACTGGCGGCCCCAACCCTATACCCTAACCATTAGGGGCAAGGGGCAACATGAAATCTCCCCTTCACAGAGAGAGGAAACTATGCTTGCAGGGGTCCCCTCTAGATAGTCTTAGGAGTAGGTAGTGGAAGGTAAAAGAAACAGAAGTTGAGAGAAGAATATAGAAAAAAAAAAAGAAAAGAAAAAAAAAAGAATAAGTGTCTGAATCTGGACGTGTTTGTGGAGAGGTGCAAAAGATTGTGAGTGGTCTGCTTTTCTGCATCTCTGAGTGGAACACGTCCAGATTCAGACACTTATTCCAATCCTCTGTGCCAGTGGGATCAAACTCGTAGGAGAGAGAAACGATGAGGCCGGTGCCTCAGGGCAAGGCCCCACCAGTGCTATGTTCACATGCTAGGAAAGCATGAACCTGGCCTCGGCTGCGGCCAGGTTCACACCTTCTGGGGACAAAAAATGTATTCAGGGTGCGGGAAGAAGTTATGGACTCTGTGATTTAACATGGATGCCCTTCGCGACATCCATTGAAATTGAAAAAAATTGGAATGATACAGAAGGTGTGAACCCGACGGCAGTCGAGGCCAGGTTCATGCTAGGAAAGCATGAACCTGGCCTCGACTGCGGCCGGGTTCACACCTTCTGGGGGGGGAAATTGGAACGATACAGAGAAGATAGATTAGCATGGCCCCTGCGCATTCAAGGATAACTCGAATAAATCGAGAAATGGTCCGAGCATACAAGACATGAAAAAACATGGATGGTCCCAAGGTGTCTTGAGAGTTAGGGCCAGATCCCGCTGGCAAAGAGTATTGCAAGAAGTGTCTGAATCTGGACGTGTTCCACGCAGAGTGCAGAAAAGTAGACCAATCACAGTTTTTCGCACATGGCCCAAATCGAGACATGGTTCGAACATACATGACATGAAAAAACATGGATGGTCCCAAGGTGCCTTGAGAGTCAGACAGTTTCATGCTCTTTCCATCAGCTGGAAGCCATGCTATAGACAGACGTTCTTGGCAATGTGACCACGCCTAGGTTCTATGCAGTGTGACCACACCTAATGCCTTCGCAGTTTCACCACGCCTAAGTTCAGTGTAGTATAACCCCGTGTACCATGCAGTCTGACCACGTGCACCATGCAGTGTGATCACGTGTGCCATGCAGTGTGATCACGTGTGCCATGCAGTGTGATCACGTGTCCCATGCAGTGTGATCACGTGTACCATGCAGTGTGATCACGCCCGATTCTGAAGTTGTGTGCAGTGTGACCACGTGTACCATGCAGTGTGATCACGTGTACCATGCAGTGTGATCACGTGTACCATGCAGTGTGATCACGCCCTAAGTTCTGAAGTTGTGTGCAGTGTGACCATGTGTACCATGCAGTGTGATCAGGCACTAAGTTCTGAAGGATAGAAATGCTGGCTGGTAACGTGTTTGCAGGAATGGGACTTATTTTGGGGCAACTTCAGTCCACATACAGGTTAAGATAGCTGTATTTTGGGCCAACTTTCAGTCCAGGTACAGGGCAAAACATCTGCATTTTTTTGGGCCAGCTTTCAGTAGAGATACAAGTATTTTGGGGAAGAAGGAAATAACATGTGGTTCCCTCAAATAACAGACATGGCTTCATCATTCTGTTGAAGGGCCAGGCTGTAGCCAACAGATGTACTTGTCTACATTCCTTAGCCGTCTCTGACTCTCAAGGCGGGTATTTGGGGAAATGTTCAGTCCAGATACAGCTGTATTTGGGGAAATATTCCGCCCAGATACAGCCATAATGATCATACGATCTATTCAGGGGAAGACGGTAGTAAGGTGTTCCCTCAAATACAAGACATGGCTTCATGATTTCGTTGAAGGGCAGGCTGGAGCCAAGGGTTGTCTACATTCATTCACCGACTTAGACTCTGCAGCTGGAATGAATGTAGACATCCGTTGGGTCGAAATTTGAGTGTGCATTTTGCAAGTGGAGTGAAGATGAAGTTGATCTTCTTTCCAGCCTTTTTTTTTTTTTTTTTTTTTTTTTAACCACTAGTACCTGGTGCCGGTCACACCCTAAGTTCCTAAAACAGAGATTTTGTCAAAACGGACATTTCTTGTTTTCTGAACGAGTCATAACCAATAAGTAAGGTTCCAGTGGCTTGTGATAAAATTTATGAAACAATATACTATTGAAAATATGCTACTATTATTTAATTTCCTATGCATCTATACCACCAACGACAAAGTCATCACACAAAATCTAAGAAATCTACAAAAACAAAACCAATGAATGTACAACCACCTCTTGCATATTCCCCTGATATCACTATAAGAAAATGGAAGTAGCTAATGACTGATAAGTTAGTGTTCAACCATTTAATTATGATAGTAAATATCATTTTTTCACAAAATTCAAAACATATACATACAAAAATGTAGACCATTCAAGTCTGGCAGGACGCTATTTATCGACATTTTCCTCAACTCTTTCATCCAATAATCGGGTTTGTGTTCTTGGGTGCTTGAGACCCTTCTGCGGTCCTCTGTGGGCCTGTGAACGTATTTTTATCATGAATTGATTTCACGAGGCACAGGCAGGTCTGTACAAACCCTGAAAGGGTGGAGCACCTCGATCGAGTACTGCACGTTCTTTGAGCTTCTTTCTCTCTTTTTTTTTTGTTTTTTTTGTTTTTTTTGTTGGTTTGTTTGTTTGTAACAGCCCCACTGTGCTGGTAGGAGCAGACACATCAAGCTGGTCATGGGGAGGCTCCATCTATTGGTGGTGAGCTGCACCTGCCGGGAAGCGGTCCCAGCGTCCCCTTTACAGAAATTGCAGTTATTGTGCAACGATACATTGGTAAAATGTGAAGGGCGCGCCTCTTCAGCCTACAGACAGGCTCCCTGATGCGGTTGCACAGATCCTGGTGTGTGCCCCTTGGTATGTGGTGCGGTATAGCTTATGGCTGCATTCAGCTGTGCTCAGTTGTCTCCTAGGCTCTGAATTCTCGTTCCTTTAAACCACCAGTACTTGGCCCAGCTATCGGCCGCGGGAAAAAAAAGAGTAGAAACGTTTCTAGTCAGATGAATTTGGGCGCTCCTGTAGTAGCCGTACATTTCCTAAAATAGTGGCGCATTAACGGGCACGACTCTAGGAAGTACTGGTGGTTTAAACCCTAAACCCTAAACCCTTAAACCCTTGTACCCTTGACCCCTTGACCGCAGTATCCCTTTGCACTCCTAAACCACCAGTACCTCGCTCAGTGTTCGGCCGCGGGCCTTCCCGTATACGCGCCGCAGCCTCAGGCTGGTCGGCCAAGGGAAGGCCCGGTCGTA